TGCCAATCTGTTGCTATTTGTGTGCAATTTTGTTTAGCTTTATTTTTGTATTTATCCCTTAGTTTTTTGCTTACTTCGCATATCTACACATATATACAGACATACATAAGTATATGGTTTACAACCTTTTTTATTATAGTATTTTAAAGTTTGTATATTGGTGCATGTAAGTTATTACTTTCCTTAAATTTGCTTAAAAAAGAGTATTCCTAATTTTGTGGCAAAAGTTTTTTGTCCATTTTCTCCTAAGCTTTTTATCTCGTTTCTTTCGATATTCATTTCAATAAAACAATTTATCTTGACAACAGCATCAAATATTTACACATTGGGATTTCAATTGATTTATGGTCACTCAAGCAGGCTATATGTACGTAAGTAGATTACTGGTCAACGCCTTTGCGTCAATTTTAATCTCAATATTCACTAGTTAGTGCGACATTTCTAAGAATTGAATTCAATTAAAACGAAGAGCTGAGTATTTTACAATTCTTATTTTTGATTATATGTATATTACTCCACATATACATACATACATACAAATATTTATGCAAATAAATATTTTTTTATTACATTTGAAAAAGATACACATGCATACCCAGTGCCACGGGTCGTATACGTAATAAAACTTAATATGCGCACTCTTGTGTGCCGCCGCTTCTTAACTGCTTTCTAAGTCTATTATCATTCATGAATCACAGTTTATTATAACATTATGCAAATGGTTTTGAAATTGTTCTAGTTGTTTATTGAATATGTGCGATAAATTAGCCTCCTGATATGAAGACGATAATATTTGAAGCAGCGCGAATGTTTTATAAATTATTTGAAAGTAATTTTTAGTGGTTTTGTAGTTAATGTACGTACAGAATTCTAGGTTATTTACTATTATCAGCTTTATATTAAATTTATTTAATAATCTGCACATTTTTCGCTTCCCCAAAAGAGTTATTTTCATTTTCTTAAAAAACACTTTTAATAAACTTACTTTATGAACTCTACAAAGAAACGTTGCAGGGAAGTATAATAAACGAAAAGTTGAATGAATTGGTTGAGAAATAAGTTAAATTCTGCAAGATTTGTGCTGACGGCTATTCAGATGTTACTTCAGTTCTGTAGAAAACGCTTAACAAAAAAAACAGCACGGACGGAAATGGAATTCAAGGCTTAAACCTGAAATTATAGATTTAAAGTTTCACCATCGCTCTATCAGGACGGCCAAGAAATAAATATGTGGTTCAAATACTGATGATCTGCCAAACTTGCGTCTACTACAAAATACTTAATCAAGCCGAAGAGCTATTCGAGTATTTTCGACAAGTTTAGACAAGACTCACACATGTTGCTCATACGCCGTGACATATCTTAAGAGACGTGGCATATTTCATGCACATTAAAGTGCTTGCCACATTTTCATTTCTTATTACAGTATATCGTTGCTCGTTACTCACGATGATGGAATTTGTAGGTTAATACGAGTGTGTCCATATAATTTAGCTTATTGTATTTGGTTTTATGTGTACAGTTAAGTGAGGTAATATATTTCTTTAAAGCTCAGCGATTTACTACAAACGATTTTGTTTTTTTGTTTTTTGTCTTTAATGTAAAACTTTAGTCATATATTATTTTGCCGCCCACAAATTCTCAATACATACCTACATAAAAGACTACGGACTATTATTCTTATTTAATAGCAGTTGAAGTAGCATAAAAACACTGTAAATCAACAGTCAGCATTGCTTTACGATTTCAAGGAGTAACAGAATTTATAAGCACGTAATGCCGTATGCCTTGCTTTACGTGATTGCTATTGCTCTTGTACGCTGCTATATAAGACATAGTAAACTTTTAGCGAGACAAGACTTGATGCTCTACTACTTGCATTGATTTCCGATTCGTGCCCCGACCATATTTGTTCTATACCAGCTGACCATCGGCGCATGAAGTTCTGTAATGTGGCAATGGTGCATTGCGTTCGCGTGTGTACGAGGTGTGTTGTAAAAGTTGACCACGTGTTTCGATTTCTTTCATGTTTTAACCAATTTTTAAGCATTTTAAGGTTATATTTTTCAACTCTCTGCGATCTTCTTCACGGTATTTGGATGCCTATGACTTCTGTTTTCTGTTCCAAAGTCGACTCGGAATAAGGACTACATTTCTAAGGATAACTTGTTTTCGTCTTGAAACATTCCTATTATAAAATACTACTGAATCACTGATTATGAAAACTTGTAAGTCAAACCCTATTTGAAATCTTGAACTTCGAGAAGATCCACTTATCCTTCGACTATTACAAAACGACAGCGACGAAAGAGTTTATAATCTTAAGGCATTACCATTTTCCTTTCTACAAACCTTTCTACTACTATATTCTGGTACTGCTTTGAAGATTTAAGACAAAATATCCTAGCTAGTGATTGCTAGCTTATAACTTAATATATCAAGCTCATCATTCCTCTATTCACCGATCAATTTAAAAATCGTCTTCATGGTTTTTGATTATTCAAACTATCATCCAATCCACCGCCTTCTTTCATATGTGGTTCCTTCTTTTAAATATACTAAGCAGATTTCTACAATAGTCGGCTCTACGTAATCTAAACGGACCTGAATTTTTATGTGGATAGAGGCAGTGATACATACAGCATTCTATAAAAATATGTCGTCGAAACCACAACTAAGCCGTGAACCACCGATCAGCCGGGTTGCATCAAAAAGTGGTAAAGAAAAATCGAAAATTACACTGGCTTACCAAACGGACCTCGCATTTGAAAGCAAGTAAACGTGTAAATATTTAGTTTAGCACACGAGCATTTAAGTGGTCAAGCATTCACCGGAATGTAATATTATAGTTTTGTAAATATTTATACATTTTGTAAAAGAAATTTACACGAGCAAGTGACCTAACAAAATGTGATTTAATAAAATGTGACGAAAAGTAAACAGAAACCCTAACTTCATAATGGAAAAATTTAAATTGAAATGTAAGAAAAAACTTGAAACTTCTGTTGCAGCGAAACTGTTATATATATAATATACTTTACACATGCCAAAGAGTCCAAACAAGAACTTGATTTTTATCGGTCAGTTTTTATGACAGTTAAATATTATAGTGATCCGTTCGGAACAATTTCTTCAAAGATTGCACCGTTGCTTTGGATAATAATTGTAGCCAAATTTTGTGAAGATATTTCGTCAAATAAAAAGATTTTCCATATAAGGACATGCTTTTGATCAATCAGTTTTTATGGCAGCTATATGCTGCTATATGCCTTGTGGTTCGAACTGAGCAATTCCTTCGGAGATTATGCAATTGCCTTAATAAGTCATGTACAATTGCTTAAAGATATCTCGTCAAATAAGAAAGCTTTCCATGTGAGAACATGGCGGTTACGACACATGTGCAGCTTCTTGAAAATAAGGATGTGCGCAAAATTTCAGATCAATATCTCAAAAACTGTGGCCCTATTTCACGTATAATATATGCAGACAAACGGATATAGTTAAATCGGCTCAGCTCGTCACGCTGATCATTTATGGTCGGGTCTTCGGCGTTTCCTCTGGGTTTCACCAACTTCGTGTCAAACTTTATATACGAGCTGATCAGCACATAATAATAACAAAATAAACAATAAGAAAACTGGCCATAATAACAGCATTACTAAAATCCACTTAAATTGAATGAAATTCAGAACAAATATGGTGACATTTCATGTTGTCAGATTTTGCGCCTAAGTTATGTACATATGTATGGGTGAGCTGCGTTTTCGGGCGATATAGATATGATTTCGCCCAAATATTTGCCTTGAGAGGTCATCACTGCGCTCTGACTAACAAAAGTCTCAAAATTATTTCCTTATATATCTCAATCCTGAAGAAACTATTAGTTTCAGCTCAGCTGAGACAATAATACCATACTCTTTCACTGATTTTTATTTGTACGACTATTGAATGCAACAAATCGCTTGTGTCTCACTAATACACTCTACAATTGCGACTACGGGTACTTCCATTTACTTGCACTTAATATTTTCGATGCTTTCTGCATGGCATCTTCCTCTGTTGCAACACTTAAAGAAACATTTACTTGGCGCAGAATTCAAAACAACAAACTAAGAGACAAGTAGACAAGTTTCTACTTTCACTTTTGGCTGTTGCACTCCACATACTAGCAGAGGGTGAATTAAATTTATCGTCTATAAAAGTAAGTGTAGAAATCACTATGAAAATAGAGTGACTTAAGAATGTGCAAATCGTGCAAAGATGCAAGCTGTCAACTCATACTAAAATTTTAACTGTTCATGTAATGATTGTAATAATTTTTTGTTGTTTTAAAGACCCTAAATGGGTATTAAGTAAAAAATAATATACTTCAACGTAAGAAAAATAATAAAATAATAAATAAATGTTTGACTAGCATCTGGTTTTATATTATAATTGGTATTAACCTTTAACGTCAGTTTCTCGCATCAAATTGATCTACCAGAAGCACCGCGGAACACTGACATTGTCCCGGTGACAATATATATTATATATTATGAATGTCTAATATGTGAAGGCTATGTAATACTACAAGAACTACTGCCATATTTTTTCCTATATTTAAAACCAATACATTTTCTGTTCTCCCTTACAAAGTGCCATAACTTTTTGAAATATAATATATTAGAATTGTATCTTCTTTTATTTTTTCAATGCTAAAAAGAAAGTAATAAATGTGCTTTATTGTCTTAAATTAAAAAAATATATATTTTACAAAAGTAAATATTAAAAGTATGTGACCTTAACAAATAATTAATGGCAGATAACCATAAATTGCAATGGCAGCCTATTACACTGCGAAATAAAACATTTGAAAGACACATTTTTAATATCACTCATACGCACTGTAGCACCAAAAGATAATATTCTCGTTAAATAATAGAAAAAGCAAAAGATTGAATTACTCTTACTATAAATGGTATGAAACTGAAATTTCTTAACTAAAAACACTACATACTTACACATCTCTAATGTCATTCAAACCCCAAAAAGCTCTCGGATGTATGTGTGTAATACGATTGTCATTGAGATTTCTTCAAAATAGCCATAAAAACCATTACGCGACATGAAATGATACAAAAGTAATAAAGTTCATATCAAAACAAATTAATCACCTTTTCCAACAATATTAAATACATAAATAAATATCATAGAAACAAATGTGTAAATCATTTGCGGCATACAGCAGCCGATGAAGGGTAACAATTTCGCTCAGCAAAAAAATAAGCACTAAAGCAAATATATATACAATATATAATTGTGTGTTTGTTAAGTCAGCGTCCGCATTTTATTTTGTGCTGACGTGTTTGTTGCTATTTTTGTATACGATTGTTTTTGTAATAAAAAATTGAATGACAGCAACAAATCACGAAAGCTGAGGTGTTTGCAACGCATGTAAATTATCGCAACAGCACTAACACAATGTTGTTGTTGTCAGTGTATTTTTTTCTAATTTTTTTTTTATGTTTTTCTTGATAATATATTATGTCCGCCCTGTCACGTGATTTCATGCCAAACTGTCTAGGCTGGCTGCACCAATTTACCATAATGTACTCGATATTGACACTAAATGCCGTGCAATCGCCCCTCACTCCGATTGTTGACAGTGAAAAATGATTGGTATTAAATAAAAACAATGTAGACAATTTATTAACTGAATATTTATACACAGACGAATTTCGCCTGTTTCTGGCAAGAGCAAGCATGTGAGAGGTTGAGTGCGTACTAAAAGATAGATGAATGAGCGGCAGGCAAAACATGCCACAATATAATGGCTGTGTATTTAAGTTATGCCATTCTTTAGCTTTTGCTTGAGGTAGCAAAATCACACTGTTTACTTTCAAAGAATTCCACACAACAGCGCTGGAAAAAAAAACATTTTTGAAACATCAAGTTTAGGAATTTCAATGATTTAAAATTAAAACTGCTTGCTAGCATCTTATGTGTTGTTTATATTTATATCAGCATTTACTTAGCGCAAGCAAATCAAAAAATTAGCGATAGCTATTTAATTTATCTCTGCGCTAAAAATAAATTTTAATATTTGTTGTTTGTTTTTGTTGTTAATAAAAACCAGTGTTGAGGGTATTTTGAAGTCATCAATGAACTAAAATAGCAAAGAGACAGGTGTTTTTAAACCTATTGGCTTTTTATTTATTTAAGTATTGTAAATAAAATTAAAAAAAGTGAAGTAATAAAGCTTTATACGTTTTCACAACTTTAACAACATCTCTAACTAAGGCATTCTAATATTTAAATATCGAGTTTAGAGTTAATAGAAATTAGTAAGCTCACGAAGTTAGTGTAGTTGGAAGATAAAGGTCATTATAATTTATTTTAAGTACGGTATTGTTGAACCCAAAATATTGTACAAATAAAAAAGAGGAAAAAAGTTAACTTCGGCTGCACCGAATCTCTAATACCCTTCGTAGAAGCATATTTATATCATAAAAGTGTATAAAAAGAACTTTATTTTGATTTTGATTGGTCAGTTTGTATGGAAGCTACATGTTATAGTTGTCCGATATCGGCAGTTTCGACGAATGAGTGACTTCTTGTTGAGAAAAGGGCAAAATTTCAGAACGATAAATCAAAAATTCTTGCTGATCATTTAGATATATATACTTTATAGGGTCGCTAACGTTGCCTTTGGGTGTTAAAAACATCGTGGCAAACTTAATATACTCTGTTTAGGGTATAATTATATTGAATATATGTAATGATGCGTTTGATGAACGCAGAGTCCTCGGCTACATTGACATGTATTTCTTTTTTTATTAGACGTCGTTTTTTGCAAAAGATTTAGGTCTTTTGGTGCGATTCTTGCATTGATACGTTTCATACCCAAATAATTAACCAAAATGTGCTGAGACAATCTGTTAAAACTGTTGAGATTCTCTGTTATCTCGCTGATGCCAAGACGACATTTTTCGATGTCACCGTATTAACAGAGGTGGATGGACGACTCACTTGAGACTAGTTTTCGCTGACTTCACGACCTTCAATTAATGCTTTGGCCACTCAAATACTTTTGTTAGTGATAAAGTAGATTCCCCAAAATACTTCTGCAAGATTTTCAACGAATCCGTAGCTGTGATTTGATTGGAAACACAAAATTTTGAGCAAATCATTGCTCAATTTTATTGGAGTACAAACTTCACACGAACAAAAAACAAGTTGTATGCAAAAATCAAAAAAACAAAAAAAAAATTGTATGGATTTGGTTTGGGCGTGCTGTTTATATGGACCAGTCCGGTCAGTTACGGTTCTCATTGACTCGTAATGTATTTTTACTTGCCAATATTAAAATATTGAAAACTCCTATGTAATCATCCGGATTTTCCAATTAAATGAAAAATCACCAAAACAGAAAATACTATTATTTTAATAGAAATTAAACGTACATAAAAATACAGATTGAACAAGATAATTGGTTGAGCGATCTTCGAATACCGTCAATCACCCTTCGAATACCGTCAATCACTGTAAAGACATTTTTTAGTAATAAATTTCCTATAATCGGAGGAAACTTTAATCTAAAATAATCAAACAAGATTTATTTTTATAATTAGTTATCTTTTAAAGTCATAAAGTCATTAATAAAAATATTATTTATCAAATTTTATTCATTTATACAAAGCATTCTAAAAATTAAAAAAAAATTATATTATAATGTTTTAAAAATCTACTTACAACAGATTTAAAGCGGCAAGATTCGCAAACATGTCCTCTGAAATGTACTCAATGGCATTCGAATCCAAATAGCTGTAAAGAAATTAAGTGCCGCAATTTAGATTAAATTATAGGCGTAAGAAAGTAGTTTTGCATATATTTTTGGTATAAAAAAAGAACAAAAGTAAGTAAACATTTAATAAAATAAAATGTCTTAGGGTGCGGGACAGCTGAGAAAGATTGAGATTCAAAGGAAACATAATATCAGCGCCCGAAATGATTTTGCAGGCATTATTGAAAGCATGCGTGAGGTAATCAAATATGATACGGTAACCCAGTTAGCAAGTGGAGTAAATTTTTTATAAACTTACCCAGAATTAAAAAAAAGTTTTGAGCCTTACCGTATCTTTTGTATATTTTATTTTCTATGTACACTTAAGTATAAAATAGAACCGCATCCCATTGACCGATGAGCTTCATGTGTAAGACAAACTCTCCTGATACAAGTCTCGGAACACCTAACATGAATATACTCTGACTTTGTGGGAATGAGATGTAAGGATTTTGCGCGCGATGTTGCAAGGAATGGACGGTCAACAGGTTTTCATAAATTAATTCGTTTTAAAATAACCAACAAAAATATTTGAAAGACAGCTCAAGAGAGGCTACCTTTACTGAGCACTTTTTCATTTTTTCAAGTTGTTTATGTTTGCTTTCTTACAAGTACGAGTTAAATATGTAATCGAACATATATGCTTACTGGCAAGTATATTTATAATATATATAGTTAGCTGACGTTTTCCCAAACATTGACTTTTACGACTCACATGCAAACTCACACCCGCACCACATATACTTAAGTGAACACATATTTGCCACGACTTTCATCAATAAGCTTAAAGCACGTTTTAGCACCTACATACTCACATTTCGTAGAGACGCTGCATGTGCGGAAATTTCTCGTTACGCAGTGTGAGCAAATTATCACTTAGCATCAGCCATTCGAGGCGTGGCATGTCCACAAACAGCGCCAACGGCAACTGACGCAATTGATTCGAAATGAAAAAAAGCCACACCAGAGAGTTCATGCCACGAAATATGCCAACTGACAAAATGCTGATATTGTTATGCCGCACATCCAATTTCTCCAGCTGATGTAGGCCATTGAATGTGCCTAGCGGCACATGCGATATGTTGCAATGCTTCAGTGAGCTGCCGAGCAGAAAGGTAGGCGTTCAGAAAGCAAACAAAATAACAAAGAAATGTTGTGTAAATATAATATAAGAAATGTGGAATGGAGAAGAAACGCGCCAAAAAATATATTGCTACAAATTGTACAACAACCGCATAGAGATTAGCGAATAAGCGCGTGATAGGTCAAAGGCCTCAACGGCTTGCCGCTAACGGTGTCTACGCACTTCCGTTACTTACAGCTTCTGTAAGTGTTTCAACCCAATAAAGCTATTTTCACGCAGCGTCACATTACTGCGGACTATCATCAAATACGTCACCTGCAATGGAAACGGGCAAAAGTGGTTGCGGTGAGCATTTAAATTTTTAGCTATAGCGGCTCTATAACTGTAGAGAACAGTTACCTCGACACTTAAGCGCGGTATGCGCGTCAATTTCGCCTTACGTCCACAATATAATATCGAACGCTGGCGGCAGGTGCAAATACCTTTTGGATATGTTGTTATTTCTAGAATGTAAGAAGGTATATACAATAAGTCATAAGTTGCACGGACTATATACTTGTATTATGTAATAATATTAAGTGTTGGAGCAATGCGTCCGCAGAGATATAAAATGCGACATTTAAACGAATACTTACCACAAATCGCAACTTCTTCGTTGCCACTCACTTGCGTTCGACGTCCACCATTTTCGGTGTCAATGGTTGCTTGCTCCACCGGCGGCACACCCATTGTCGTCACATTTATCAATTCACCCGCGGTGCCATTGCGACCGCTGCTAAGTGTCTTACTCTGGTGTTGTTGTTTTTGTCGCTGTTGTTGCCTACGCCGTTCAATTGCATTGCCGACAATTTTATCGGTCAGCGCCTTACTGCCATAAAGTAGGCCACACTCGACCGGGTGTTCGTCGCTGCCATCCTCGCAATCTGTGCGATTGTCGCAAATTTGACGCTGCGGCACGCACAACGTGTTGCCATCACAAGCGAAGGTGCCTTGCGGACAGGGTCCTGCAAAGACACAGTAGGAGACAAAGAGAGTGAGAGAGAGAGAGAGACAGGGGGAAAAAATTAAAACGCGGAGGCTAAACAAAACAATTTACAGTTGAAATGTTAGTAAAAACTCGAATGGGAAAAAATTAGCGAGCGGTGCGAATAAAATAAAAGGAATTAATAAAAAAAAAATGTCTGCATCAAATTGTTGCCAGATCTACCGTAACCGACCAATTAAAATGAAAAAAATTTGGTGTTTATAGTATTACCAAATATTCTTATTGCCGCGCTAGCGTTTGTTCAACCGCAGCTCGCGTTAGATGTTGCAAATTAATGTAACCGCTAACTACCCGCAGCAGAACGTTAATTTAAAATAATTGAAATGAACTTTTACAAGCTGTCTGCATTTTTATTTGCACAATGCGTGTTCCGTACCAGCGTGATAAGGGAGGGAAGATGAACTCAATTAATTAATGTCAGAAACGGAAAAAATCGATGAATACATTTCTTAAAACCTACTGGTAAATATACTGGTGGCTTCAAAAAATAGTACAGTCGATGTTACAAACTACGAGGATCGTTTGAATGGTTCGTGGCTCGAATTTATACTTTTCCGCTGCTGTCCTATCGATTACTTTTAAATAATATCCTAATTCGTTGCAAAAGTTTTTACGACTCTTGGCTATCAGCTCTTCTCCGGAGAAAGTTCCCTCCAGCACCTTCTGAGCTGCAAAGTACGTTGACTATCTTACGATCTGGGGCTTCCTAATTACAGATTCACAGTTTAAGGTTCACATCGAGATTTTCCACATTCCTTACAAAAGTTCGTCGAACGGGGATTCCGTGTATCATAACTTGTCTTCTCTTACAATTACACCACCAACAAGATGGTAGGTAATATGTAGCCCATATTGTTAAAACTTTCGACACCCTTGCGATGTTGATTGTTTAGGTCAGGTTACAGTAGATATTGACTATGTCAATGATCTGGTTACTTCCAGATAGTGCTTTTTGGCCTTCACCATGGACACATAACTTGATTCCAGATAATTGAACTTCCTTAATAAATCTATTTCCAAAAAAAAGTCGGATGTTTACTGTTTAATTTTAAGTAATCGGTCAATCAGCAGTTAATTTAGTTTTCAATTCAGTAATACTGGGGCAGAATAACGGATTTTTATTATTTAAAACAACTTTTACTATAACATAAAATTATTAGATCAAGTTCTAATAATTAGAATGCTCACCATTTTTTTTTTGTTTCTATTGGTTATTAAGTGTTTTTTTTTTTATAAATATATAAGAGATATAAGACGCTTGAGGTTAGTAGTATATTATTCTAAGGACAATAAAATTTTCTGCTGGGACAATATTTAGTGCGGATCTAATAAATAAATAACTAAAATTAATAATTAATTAATAGGCAGCCAAAAGTATGATACTGAAGTCTCAAACGACCCTCGTTACTTAAATACAGTATATATTTTTTGTAAGTACATACGTATTTATACTCATACCTAACATATATGTATCATTGTTGTAAATTTTCAGTTGTTGGACAAATGGAGTATCCTTTTTGTCTGAGAACGCTTCGAAACGGCTAATGGATTTTTGTTGAAAACTAGAGATTTCTAAGTCTTCAAATTAATTTCGAACATTTTCGCCATAACCGTTATACAAACCATATTATTTCAATAAACAAAGTAAATAAAGTCGCTTGGATAATTTGCTAACTGCACATAAATGTTAATGCACCATATGTGCTGAGTCGTCTTCTGTGATTTCACTACAAAGAAGCACTTTAAGGTGACACATAAAAATTTACAATCGATTTACCAGCCTATTTGTCTCAAGCCAAATCAAACCAATGTCGATATCTATTATATATACCTATATACACATATGTGTCTACATATAAAGTAACGTAAGGAGCATCTTATTTGTACACAGACATAGATGCATATCTCTTGGCTTTACTACAATATCGAAGACATCAACAATTATTTGATATTCACGTTGTATATAAACGTTCAGTCGAATAGAAAAAATCGACTCGTTATGGAGCATATGCACACTCGGTTTCATTGTATTGGCTCAACATTCACTGACATACGCATATTTAGGGCAATTATTAGCATTAAACACATATCGAAGGCTTTGCTTAAATTGCGCGGCTTTTCTTGTGCCGATAACAGTAAATGTCGGCCACGTTGCGTGTACTAATGTATGAAAAGGCTTATATAAATAGTTATGTCTTCATTCGCAAGTATAAATATGCATTAGGTAAGTACTAACGTATAAATATTATAAGCAAATATTGCGATGTTTGGAGTCAAAATTCAAAGCACCGTAAGAAGACTAAACAGAACCGAAATGTATGTGGATATCATCGAATATAGTAAAAGCATGTTTTAACTCCTATGGGGCCGTCCATAAATTACGTCATCGATTTTTTCAGATTTTAGATATAATCATCCTATCGTCATTTCTTAAAGACACCGTCTTTACCGACTTTGACTTTACCGTCATCCGCAGACCAACCCCCCCCTAATTTAGAATGACGTAATATATGGACGGCCCCTATGCGTCACGTCTTAATTTTCATCTATGGGGAAAATATTTACATATTTTATTACACACAGTCAAGATCACACTTGACCTGGAAAACCGAAACGTTTAATATATTTTTTCTAAATTCTAGATTTTATTTTTATCTGAAGTTTTTCGTAGGGTGTCAAATCATTAATTTTAATTTTTGATTACTACCCTAATGTATGTACATACATATACAAAATTATTAGCCATCGATATTAAAGATATTTACTAAACTTTAACTATTCGGTGATTGTTATAGCCGAAGATTTCCATATTGTTCTGAATTGCTTTGAATTGATTTTATGAACGACTTATTTGTCACATAACAGAGTAATAATAACAGTAATAATCATAAACACCAATTGGCGTTATGAATTGTTAAAAATGCGAAAAGTATTTCAAATGCGAATATTTTCTTTTATTTTTGGTGCTTTGTATTAAATTAGGAGAATGAAAAACAAATGTATTGAAATCACGCAAGGAAGAGCTAATTTCGGGTGCAACCGAACATTTTATACTCTTGCAACTTACAAGAATCAAAGCTCGGGAAATTCCTTCTGGTACTGGCAAAACTTTATATTGAAAAAAGTTGCGAAAGAATTAAATATTCGTTATTCAATGAAATCGTGAATAAATTAAAATCAAATTTCGTATCTTCTAGATATTTTATATTATATTAATAAAGTGTAAAATGTTAACCAGAGCATCGAAATTCGTTATATTAGGGATATGAGGTTTAGACCAAGGTATAGACCAATTCCATTGTAATGCAGCGCTAAACCACATAATTTTTAAGAAAACTTGTCCATTCAAATTCATTAAAATATCACACATTTTGACCAACCTAAACGGTTTAAATACAGGTGGAAAGACGAAAATCATGTTATGGGTTATATTGGGGCTAGAGAAAGGGATGGGTTCATTGCATTAATTTTGACGTTGCTCAGTTGTACTCGAAAACATATTTTGAGGCTATTTTATATATATATATAATACTCATTCACTGACATATTCACCATACAACTTGTTAGAATAACGAAATTCATTATAAGTAGTATATGGGAGTTGAGGGTAGTATTGACCCGATTTTAGCAATTTTTGCCAATACCATCAGCAATCGTATGAAGTAATGTCAGCCCTATGTTCGAAAATCTTAAAAATAGTTATATGGTCAAGTTTTCTTCCAATTGTATCCATTTTACCATAAACACAGAGATACACCGTAACGATTAAAAGACACTCTCTAATTTTCATAGAGTTAACTCCCATTATGATCGATATATGCGGTATAAAGTCACCCGGAAGTTCAAAATCTTTATATTAGGTATATGGGACTATTAACCCGATTCATTCTATTTTTGACATACAGACAAACTATTATCAGAAAAGGATTCTCTCTGTATTTCAATTATATATCTCATATATTGACCGATATTTTCGGTAAAAAGACAACTTTTCTGTACTGGAATCAGTGTAAAATTCAACATCTCCGACTGGTTTATTTAATGTTGTTATCGCACTTTTAGTAGTTTTAATTAAAACCGTTATATGGGGAGTGGGTGCTAAAAGTATTTGTCCTGAGAGAATTTGGTTATTATAGCTTTAACGGTTTAAGAGATAGGATAGGAGGACCACGCCCACATTGTAAAAAGTTTTTAAAGTGCAGATGCCCCACACTAATATGATTCGCTATACCAAATACCAGTCTTGTATGTTACTGTGGAGCTTAGGTGTGGCAATTTATTGGTTTTTTGTGGCCATCTGCAATAAAAATAAAATTGGGTGGGTACAAAAAGTATTACGGATTCTCATGTTTTTACATTCGGTAAGATAAAGTGCAGCTCTTCTGCAAGATACCAGAAGTTACATAAAGATCAAAGCAACCATGTTAAGAGTAGAACTTCATAACAGGGGTTTTTACACTTCTTGGCTTTCATTGATCTTTCATCTTAGAATTATGGCAAAGGACTTATTTTAGAAGTAAAACTTAAACAGTTGAAGACAACAGATATAGTGGACGTATTGCTTGGGACCCAGTAGAGTAGTTTATATCAAGTCTTCATTATATGAAAGTACAAAATAAGTAGTACAAAAGTAATTCATATTTTCAGACAGTATAGGGATGTCATACTAGAAGGTAGACTGATTCGCGTTTTCGAATAAATATATCCACCGTGTATGAAATACAATTTTAAACACAAGACCTGTTTCTGGCTTTTGCTTGTGAATTTCCTGAACGGTTTCAATCGTTATCTCCTCACATGTGACATTATATTTCTGCACGGCTGCGTATATAAGTCCAAAAGAGTTTTAAATGATTAATTGACTTCACCGAATCGATTATAGCAGTCGTGAGTGCCCGAGTGTACTCAGACATTAGGGGTCTCGGGAGTATTAGCTGGACTGCTGGTCGATTAGATGTTAGCGGTGTGATATCCAGTAGTTGCAATGCCGAACAGTTTTGGTATGTTTGCACGTAAATTGTTTAGACAGCGAACGCGTTTAACTGAGAATTATGGTTAGCTTCGTGTGTGTGTATGGTAGTTTCGGCTAGGAGGTCTGACCGGAGGCTTAATTCTGGCACCACTGGGAGCAAGAGCGCTTGAAGTTTGCATCAAACTGTTCATACAACACGGCCGTTCGGATAGTAACATGGCTTAATACCCGAATGCGGGAATAACTAACCGTTTGTCAATTCAATGGGAAGTTGCGTTACAACCGGGTGCCGGACCCAAAAGTACGGCAGAAGTTTTAGATGGACCTCTATCTCTACCAAGGTGGTTAGTGTGTCCATTTCACATTGCCAATTGGTACTGAAAAATATTGATTTGATCCGTTGTGTTTTTAGTACCGTAAGACTGTCGTCAATAGATACCCATGTTAAACACACCGGACGTTGTCCGCAATCCGCGTAAAACTTTCACTCTCAGGAAAAAAATTTTCGATTTTCCGGTTTGGTTTTTTCTATCCTCACATGTGACGCCCTTTGACCTGCAGTTATACATACAAATGTAGATGAATACAAAAATATGCTTCGTAAGAAAAAGATTTTTTCTTTATGAAAATTATAGGTCATTTTTAGCTGATCTAGGGTTGGAAATAGTACAACATAGCATCATATATGTCATCACATATGAAAATAAAAAAAAACATAAAGATAGACGAAACTTATTATGCCCTTCTTATTTGATTAATTTTGTGTAAGCACTTTTTTTATTATTAAGTGATCTTTAAGTTTCAAACACTTTTATCTATAGCCTATAGTCCAACAAAATGAGAGACAGTTACTTAATCCACATAGAATTTATATACGAAAATGCACTCACATGAGATCTCACGTTAGCATAGTAAACGTGACAGAAATTTACTCCTTATCAATGTATCACATTGTGTTGCCCAAGTCTTCATAAGCCACTTTGCTCGTATTTGGTACAATTTAATCTAAAACGCAGCCATTGTTGGAAGCACTAAGGCAAAATGGCCTATACATAGAAATAGAACTAGCGGTCGAAATGAACAAATAAACGCCATTTTATAAGAGGCGTAAAAATACGTCAAGAATAACAAAGAAGCAATTAATACTTGTAACTTTATTAAGTGGTTATAGCATGCCGCAGCAGAAGGCAACAACATGCATGTGTACGTACATTAACAATTATCAATTTCTGCGATTGTATATAGATACAAACGTACATATGTAATCGTATGCAGGCACAGTCACGAATACCACAAGCCTGAGCGTGTTTGTATACATTCTCGTATGTATTAAGTCACTACAAGATGCTAGCAAAGGAACAGAAAAAGAAAACATAAAGGCATGAGTGACAGCGGGTCGTGAACATATCGAAAAGGGCATTAACGGGAAACGTGCGCCAGAATGCGAATAGCGCATTGCCTATTGCCATAAATAGGTTAATTTGAACGCCTGGCCCATGGGAGGAAAGGAAAGATGCTCGCACGGCATATAATTCACACTGGACAATGGTTAAATTGCATGGACACTGCCGCAAACAAAAAGAGTCATCAAAAACAAAACAAAAAAAAAAGAAATGGTGAAAAAGAAGAAGCAAACTTTCACGTAAACCCAAAAGCAAAAAAAAAACGATTTGATAAATACACAAGTTCAGTTTATGTGGTGTGTTGTGTGTCAAAAGCCAATAGGTGACACTCACCCCCCGTCAATTGCATTATAAATAGCAAAAATAGACTAAGTAGACAACTGACAATGGTCAATGGTCAATAGGCATTGAAATGCAATGGCAAGGTTCCGAGATATTTTAGCAAATGAAATTCAATTTGGTTTCGCCGCCGTATATTCTAAGGTGTGGAATTGATAATAAACAGACAACAGCAATGATATTGGTCGGCCATTAAATTTGCGTGAATTTGGCATTAATTTTATTTTATTTTTTTTCATTAACCAATTGAAATATTTTGCATTTTTATGTGATTTTGCGGCTATAAAGATTGTTAAAAATATAAGCATTTACACTAGGGTGTCCGTGAATTAAGAAAGAAAATTTTTAGAGCAGGCTTTAGAAAACTCAACCCCTAAGTTGATGCAACTATAATTGAAACAATTTGTATCCCATTTTGTTTCGCAGAGATATTCAAGTTGATCAGGAAAAAAATCCACATAATAAAGGAATTGCTACCAATGGACTGATATGTTCACAATTTTTATTGGTTTTGGTATGACTGTCATTGAATTTAACGTAATGAAAATGTCACATAATAAAGCAGCTGCAACCATTGTTCAAAGCTCTTACTAAACATAGGGAAGTAAAACATGACGTTAAGACAAGAACCATTGAAAATCTAAGCTAAATTGGCATGGTGACGGTGTGAAAACGGTGGGAGCTTCGCTGCAATAATGACAGAATTATGACAGCGAGAAATAGACTAAGCTCTTCTGTTTTTATAAAACAAGCACCTTTAAATTTAGCAATAATATTAAGTTTACTGAAAAAAATCCTTTTTTTTTTCAAAAAATAGCTATAGTAATATGTATCTCGCGTTGTATGAGTACGATTGGGTTTACGCAAATTTGCCTGCTGCATAGTAACAAAAGCGATCCATTTCTGAAGTGGATAGTTACGGTGATGAAAAGCCGCTCACTTACGACAATGTCAAAACGGTCATGCTGAAATCGCGGTTAGTTGCCGGCCACACTTATACTGTCAACAACTGAACTGTCTAAAGTAAACAATCGCCTAGAAGTGGCCTGTTTTGGCCAATAGGAGAGAAATTTTGTTCCATCAGGACAACGTCAAACCACACACATCGAAAGTAACTCGTCAAATATATTAGGAGCTTAGTTGGACTGTTTTTATGCATACATCTTACAGTTGGACTAGACATCAAGTGATTATTACTTGTTCTTGTCTATGGAGAATGATATTGCTAGTCAAAAATTCGGCTTATGAGAAACTTATGAAAACGACTGTCCCAAATTTTTTGCCAACAGAGACGGAGGTTTCTATGAGAGTGCCATTATGAAATTAACTCCAAATACAAATAAGTTATTGAACAAAATGATGCATGTGAGTATCACATTAATGGGATAATTATAATTATGCTAAATGAAGCCTTCAATTCAATGTAATTTAACATAATGTATTTCTTTTTACTACACCTTTTATATTATCTGTGTTTACCAGAAGATATGTTCTTGGTAGGATTGCTTAACAATCCAAGACTTATGTAGCTAATCAATGATTGAAAGTTGTCTTACAATTACATATGATTACCTTAATTCATTTCTTGCATTTTTGCTGTAGTTTTTGCTTTATTCTGAAATATTCGGAATTTTTCTTTGTTTTAAGTTCCCTCCTTATTTTGTATTTATTTACATATACGATATGTATGTTATTATCTGCGTT